GCCAGTGGGATATGTTAGCCAAAGAATACGTTAGCCACTTAGCCAGCGGGATAAGTTAGCCAAGAATACGTTAGCCACTTAGCCAGTGGGAGGTGTTAGCCAAAGAATACGTTAGCCACTTAGCCAGTGGGATATGTTAGCCAAAGAATACGTTAGCCACTTAGCCAGCGGGATAAGTTAGCCAAGAATACGTTAGCCACTTAGCCAGTGGGATAAGTTAGCCAAAGAATACGTTAGCCGCTTAGACAGTGGTCTTTACCCCCAACCTAATTGTTTTTAATAAATTTTTAACCAAACTTTATGACAAAAATGTTGACCTTTTTTCAGCAAATTCATTCAGTTTGGTGTTCGAAAGACGTACTGATATACATGAAACCTAAACATGAAGATGTTACCAGGGAAGAATCCTGCCCATGGGGCTAAAAGTAACCGTGATACACGATATAATTGGCCTGAAATGCTACTTAACCTCTGTAAGAAATCTGTTTAAACAGTTAGGTTGGAAATGCTGTGAAACGAACGAGTCCCCTGAGTATGTCTTTGAAATACTGAAGATTAAAGACCATGGCAGGAGAATGTGACCTCTTTAACTAACCACTGTTTACTGAGCAAATGGTTGTCTGTGTTCACAGCAAACAAGCACCGGCTCCTCAAATATCCTGCATTTCTGCAGAAATGTGCAGCCAGAGATGTGCACATAGCCCCTAAACTCTTAATGCACAGAAGCTGCCTCAGCATCCTGAGGGCCGCGCCTCTCCCCTTAACCACTTAAAGCTGATGCAAGAAAAAATTTAGAAAATAGCTATTTGTTCGAGGTATTTATTTGTCCCTTTAAGAAAATATGAAAAGAAAAATTAATACTTTTTAAAATGCACCGTGTGATAAGTCAAACTGATTGTGCAAAACAGGGTTTTGAGCAAAGTTTTTACCTTTAAATGATGCAAAACGTCTCAGATGCAAAACATTTCATTATTGTTATAATAATAATTATTGTTATAATAATGTATAATAATGTAATTATTATAAAAACATAAAATAATAGTATTAATAATTTCTAATTATTATTATAAATGGTTTAATATGAATAATTATTGTGTGTATCTAATATACACACAATTATTGAGTGTATCTAATCTGATCCATAATGTTTATAGCTGTCTGGTCATATATGTGTGACATATATGGGGATTATTATGTAACCGAATGGGTCCAGCAGACTGAGTCCAGGTCAGGATTTGTTCTTTGCTTTTACCTTTGCTGGTTATCAAAAAGGGAAATGCTTCCTCCTTCTTTCCTCATCAACTCCGAGCTGATTTCTGTGATGAAGAAGACTTAGATCAGAGCAGCCTCCCCCCTTTGCCACCCTGACCAAGCTAAAAACACAAAATAGCTCCGGAGTGACTGAGTTACGTAACCCCTGGACCCGCCTCGGGGTCGGGCCCCTTCTGGGCCACGGACCCGTCACGCAGGACGCTTTTCATGCCATAAATGGCTGAAAAGCTCCTCCCGCCGCCTGCTCCACTGTGGTAAATGTGACTCTGCAGAACAATGGGCCTAACCTTTCCTTTTCTCGGATCTCCACGCCTCTACAACTAGGAACCGTATCTGTGTTTGGCTCTACTCGTGTTCACTTTCTTTTTTTTTTGACAAACCACAATGATCACATTCAGAAAACCAGCAGAGTTTAACAGAGATTCTGGTATAAAAGCTTTCAATTTCAGCTGCTGTTGCATGTTTATCAGCTTTTTAACCATAACTTAAATTAGGTCTGTGATTAAATGAATGAATAAGTAAATGAATGAATGAGCAATAAGATTACAAAATACTCCAAAAACTTCCTCACCTGTGAGTTTTGTTGTATACTAAACAAACTCCTGTGTTGTAAACATCTACTTCCTGTGCAGCCTTAACCTTAGAGCTCAATAACTGCTTCCAGTGATTATATTCCTAATATTTAGCCTTTAAGATTTATGTCACTTCTGTCATCATTTTTAAAAACAACTTCATCTGGGCTCTGGTTCTCTGAAGCTCCATAAAAACACTCTAAAATAACATTTTTGAGTTGTTTTGCAGTTGATTTGTGTGTGTTTTCAGTAGTTTTACCAGAAATCTACCCGCCTTTGGTGACTTTATGTTGTTTTTTGTCATTATTTGTTGATCTTGGGTCACATTTTTCTTTCTATGAGGTAATTTTGGAGCAGTTGTTGATAGATCTGTGTATCCAAATCCACTTTTGCATCTGTTGTGCTCATTTTTTGTGTCTGTGAGGTCCTCGGATATTTTACTGAGATCATGATGCATTTGTTTGTATTAATCTTACCACAATTTAGGCCTTTTTCTGGCTCTAAAGTTATTGTAGTAATGAGCACAGCCACACTGAGGGTGATATAATTCCCCCTTACAGAGCAAAAGTTGATGGCAGTGTTTTTACGGGGCCTGGTGCTATAACAGCTTTGGGAACGGACTCAAAAAAAGGTCTTTTGGTCAAACCGATACGGCTCACAAGCCGGAAAACCGCAGGTCTTCATCAGTAAACGCCAACATTTGATTTAGAGCGCTTCGAAAAAGAGAACTGGCCATAAAACATTCACGGTGAATGGATGTAGTGTAGTTTTACTTCCTAATTTGTGTGTTTGTCTTGCTTCTAACAATAGAACGAACACATCCCTGTTCTCCTGATACTATAAAACAAACTGTACAGAGGTCAACGCTCCACTTATGAAAACTACTCCTCTCAATGTTTGCTCAGGAAAGCTGTCTCACAGCAGATATCCTGATTTAAGACCCGTTGGTGTTGGAAAAATCCTCCAGTCAGAGCCATTTATCGTCTGTTGTGGAGTTAAACTTGAACTAATGGAGAAGTGTGCGACTCTGGGCACTCAGTAGGTACTTTTCCTCCAAAAAACTGCATCTCAGACTGGCGGTTTTCTGCAGACTGGCTTCACAGGGACTTGTGATTGCCTCCTTAGAGGGCTCTGGGTCACGAGCAGCGTTCAGGACATTTGGATTAATGGCCGCCTGTTGGTATCTGAACGACTGGGTGTGTCTGAGCAGCCCGACCTGCTGATAATAATGTTATTCCTGTACTCCCAGGGTGCCCCGCTCCCCCGAAAAAGCCCAAAACCAGAACACGCCAAAGCCTCCCACTTCCATATTTACCACGGGAAATGCTAAATGTTTGAGCAGAGCAGAAATAATCCCACTCTCTGTCACAAAAGTGAAGGAGGAATGTGCTGCTTTATAAAAAGAATAGGAGCGTTGTTTAACTTTGTTAAAGTTTGGATCCTTTTTATACAGCTCTGATACTAAAATGGAGACTTTAGCTCACAAACATCTAGATTTAACTACTGTTTGCTCTGAGGCTCATTTTCGAGCCCAAATCCTTTTCCTGTGACAATTTTTGAGCTTAAGGTTCACAGAATTCCTTGTAATTTTGAGGAATCGTGTCCCTCTGCATCCTTTTTAGGTTAAATAATGTTAACTTTCCTCCTAAGCTTATTGGTGTTTTTGAATATTCATAGCAGCACTCATAACTGAGGTCTAATCTTTACTAAAACTGAACACCGGCTCTTGAAAAAAGGGGAAGATTTTCCATCATTACGTGAGTCATGCTGTGTTAAAAAAGAAATATATAAAGAAATATATATATTTTTTCTTTCTAGTGTCCCAAAACAGACAAGTGTTTGAGTCCTTTTTGACCAGAGAGGAAAAATCTGACACCCAAAAAATGGCTTAATGAGCAGACAGAGCCACCATTGAGAGCTAGATTAATATAAGTAAATATATATATTTTTTAAATGGGGCTTAAGATCATTTAAAGGTGGCAGAAGCTTCCCTAAAACAGGCATAATGATGCCCCAATCTTGGACGCCTGCATTACAGAGAGCTTTACATAAACACGAAGGCTCATAAAAGGGGGAATGGCGTTTTGACGTTTTTGCTCGTGCTTTAGCTTGATGGGGGCAGAAAATAGTCTCCAAAGCAGCCTGGATGCTGACTCTTCTGTGGAGGGTGGGTCCACTCCTGTCTGAGATGGTCCATTATGTCACCGGTGCCCTGAGAATAGCTTCCCTGTGCCGGGCCGAGCCGTGACGTCCGAAAAACTTAACGGTGGCTGGGCCGAACCCGGGAGAAACAGGGGCCCTACTGTTTCCCCGCGCGAGGCGCCGCCCGTAAGCACACACACACACACACACATGGAACCCATTTAAGTTTCCCTCCGCCACTGTTCAAAAAGCCCTCCGGATAAACACACGGAGCAGAACCCCAGCCCGCGAGGCCAACAATCGCCATTAGAGACGGCCTGTGACGCAATCCCACCGCAATCAGAGGTAGTGGGTTTCAGATGTCCCAGTAGAGGGGCCTTACATGTAATAACATGTGGGAGAAATAACCACACGAAGAGTTCAGAACAGAACAAGCTTCAAAAAGATACTGTCTTCAGAACTACTGCACAAGATATGACGAACTGACCTGTGAATATATGTTGTATATTTCTACTCTTTTTCATGTGCCTATTATTTCCTAATGTGATTTTTTTTAATGGTTTGTTCATAATGTAATGTAATTTCATCATGTGAAGACCCCAGGAAGACTAGTGGCCATTTATTTGGCAGCTAATGGGGATCCTAATAAAACTAAACTAAACTAAACTAAACATGGGCTCCTGGAAATATTTTACATTATTATCACAACAAATAGACAGTTTGTACCTAAAATATCAATAAAATGCATGAGGCAAACTGCAATTTCCGCAGTCCTGGGTGTCAGGAATTTTAATTTTGGTTCTGTTTTAAAGCTTTTGGATGACCAAAAGCTGCTTGGAGAGGCAAAATGGCACGTAAATATGTCATAAAGTCTCCTTAAAGCATGACTGCCAGTAAGCGAAGCAAACACAGGTCAATTATTGTTCTCCCCCTGCGTACTGGAAGTCTTCTTCTCTGGTAAATCATCCATTCTCCTCCAGCCTGCTCGCGCGCGGTGCTCGCTCACGTGAAGTCGAGCGCGCGCGCGTCCTCGCTGTTTAAAACGGTCGTGGCACGAGCTCAGTCATTCACTCCAACCGTCGCTGCCCGTTGAGCTCCGGAGGACTCTGGAAAAGTGATTCAGCCGCTTTCGACGCGTCGTTTTGTGGCGTCGCTTCAGAAAAGCTACGCGACCCACCGTCAGAGGGGAGAAGTGGATGTGTTCAGGCCGTTTTCGGTGACGGTTGAGCCGGCGGAGGCCCCCCACCACCTGCTCCCGGTTCGCCTGGAAGAAAAAACGGGACTCAACGGTTTACCTGTTAAGCCCGCGTGGACACGTCGTTTGCATGAAACTGTGGCCAGGTGAGATTCGCGTGTGTGTGGGGTGGAAAAACCACCGAGGGTGATTTGAATGTCGATGTATGAGCCACTAAATGTTTTAAAAAAAGAAAACATTAACGGTTTGAAGGAAGGAAAAAAAGTGAAGTTTTTTTTTAACCGTTTCCAACCGTCGAGCCCATTTTGAACGCAGGTGTCAGAAAACGCTGTAAGAAATCTACCTTTTTTAGAGTTATTCCGCTATTTCTTTAAGAAAATCTTACTGTGCCAACTATTGAGATCTTTTAACATTTTTACCAGCCTTAGGCTAGTAATTCGGCATGGAGAGTGACACATTAAATCACACCCAATGCTTTTCCCCTTAGGTGCAGCATGTCTATGCCAAAGATAATTAATTTGTGCATCCATGATTCTATTCTTTAATTTATTCTTGTTAATGCTCTACTGCCAAAATATGTACACAGGACTAGCTGTTCTATAAAAGCAGAAACATGCCTAAAACAGTCTTTTTGCATATAAAAGTACACACAACAGTAGTATTAAAATTGGTGGAACTATTTTATCGACGTGACGTCATTCCTGTTTGCTCATTTGAATGATATTTGTATGAATGATCACCGTGACTGAGGAAATCCTGGGCTTTTTTGCCTTGTTTTGATGCAAACTGGTGGTGCAAGTACTTTTCCACGTTTGCATCCCGCCGGTGCAGCAGCATGTCTGTATGTGCATGTTTTGGGTTCTGCGCACGCTGTGAGTCGGTTTGCATCTCTTCTGTGACCTGACACACTCTCAAAAGCATGCCATTGTTTGTAGGAGAAATAGTTTTGGGAGTGGGGTGCAAAGCTGTTTCCTGCGCTGGGGCTCGACCAACAATGGCCACCACCTAAGAACAGTCGGTGGTTTCTCTCCGAGAGCCGCTTCTGAGGAGGGAGCTCGGATGTCGAAAAGAATGGCCGAGAAGTGGAAGAGAGGAAAAAATATAAGGAGTAAGACAATGGCCAGCGAGCAGCTCTGGGGGTTTGAAGGATTGGGGGACAATAGGAGGCCAGGTTAGGTTGCATAACGTTGGAGTTGACAGAGGGTCTCCGGGGGGGCCTTCGGGCCCTTTCTGTGAAGTCTTCAGCTGGTTTTGGGTGGACAGTACCTTTCCGTTTGTCTTGGCTTGTTTCCAGTCCTGTCAGTGAGTTTGCATTTTGTAACTCAAACCTGCTCATCTGTAAATATTTAAAGGCTTGCCGTCTGAGGCAGCTGAATATTTCACCCTGAGTGCGTCACTTTTTCAGCCGATCCTGTTCTGCGACCTTCTGTTTGTGCGTTTTTTTTTTTTCTTTTTTTTTTTCTCGCCTCGGGTACAAGCTGTGCTGACTCGCGTTTTTGTTTTTCTTCCTCCTCAAGGAATTTACTACGCGGCACCGTACGAACTGTCTGCTAGCAATCAGGAGTGTCCGATCCTAACGTCACCGCCTCTGTGCTTCCCCCCCACAGATACAGATAAAGGCAGTGGATGCACCGGGGCCGCCCCCCCGCCCCATAAAGCCGGCCTGAAACGCGCCATGTCCCTCAGCAGCTTCCACCTCATGCAGACCCTCAAGAACTCCCCGGCCGCCTTCCGCCGCCGCTTCCGGCGCGACCGGACGGAGTCGCTGTCCCACGGCGACCCGCTCTTCAAGGTGCACTACCTGGGCACGGAGAAGATCTTCTCGCTGGACCGCGAGCAGGCCGGGGACGCCATCGCCCGGCTGCTGGGCGGCGTGTCGGCCGGCCAGAAGCTGAGCAAGGAGCACGCGCTGGTGGTGCGCCCGCGCTACGTGGAGGTGAAGGAGCTGAGCACCGGGCGCCAGCTGACCAAGACCTACCTGCAGGACATCGCCTACTGCGCCGCCGACGCCGCGCGCCCCAACGTCTTCCTCTACATCTGCAAGCACCAGGGCCAGCAGCTGCAGTGCCGCGTGTTCTGGTGCAGCCGCGCCGAGCGCGCGCGCGACATGACCGCCTGCCTGGCGCGCTCCTTCCAGCGGGCGCTCAGCGACTGGCAGCAGGACGGCGCCGCCGCCGCCGCCACGCTGGCGCCCGGCGAGGCGGCGCCCGGCGCCAACGGGGGGGCGTTCGCCAACGACGAGTCCCCGGCCAAAGCCAAGAGCTCCACGCTGCCCGCCGGCCTCGGGAAAGGTAGTTCAGGCCGCCATTCAGCCGCCGTTCGGCCCAAAGAGCCGACCCGAGTCCTTTCTTGGGTTGTCAAAAGTGTCGATACTCGAAAAAGTATCTATACTAAAATGTTGTATCCGGATACGATTCTCATTTTCAAAAGTATCGATACTCAGAAAAGTATCGATACTAAAATGTTGTATCCGGATACAATACTCATTTTCAAAAGTATCGATACTCAGAAAAGTATCTATACTAAAATGTTGTATCCGGATACAATACTCATTTTCAAAAGTATCGATACCACCGTCGTCGCTGCGCCCCTTCTCTCTGATTTATTTATGTATTTATTTACGTTGTTTATGATCATTAACAAGACGTTAGCCTTGCTAGCTGTGGCTAATGGCTAATAATAACATGCTACCAAGTACATATCCAAGTCGGCCATTTTGATTAGGTCACCAATAGGAAGATCCCAGGCAAGAAAATCCTAAATGCTTCATGGTAATATAGACATTAATTTAAAAATGGTGAAATGAATCTTTCAAACACTGAATTAAACTCTATCCATAATATTATGTTAAAATAGTCTTTATTAAATCGGTTTGTACAATAAGTCCAAACAAGTTTAACGAAAAATATTTATTTCTCACTATTATGAAGGCTGGAGGGTTAGGGTTAGGGTCAGGGTTAGGGTCATTAATGTGGGCCACCAGTCACGATAACATCAGTAACAGGTCAGTTTGAAATGAAAGACACAATTCAAATTAAATTTTGGGGTCTTTGTTTGTATCCTTGTATCGAAAATGGTATCAAGTATTTTCCTGAGTATCGGTATCGATTTGAAAATTTTTGTATCGTGACAACCCTAGTCACCAGCTTGTGGTGGTTTTGGACCGATGTGCCACTCCTTTTGTTTGGCTAATGTTTGTGATACTGAAGCGTCTATCCTCGTTTCCCCCTCAGTGCGCTGGAGGAGGCGGGGCTCTGCGTCCCGCAGCCCGCTGAGGGCCATCAGCCGCCGGGGGTCGGCCTCCGACGGCTGGAACTGAGGGCCCACCGGAGGAAGAAGGACGAGGGCTGGACCGTCTCCAGGTTTAAGGTCCACACGGGTCAAAGCGAGTCCACTTTTGGACACCTGCTTAAAAAAAAACAAACGTCCAAAGTGGACTGAATGTTTGTGGCGCTCCGCACGGCGCCGAGGCGTCTCTCTGCTCGCCGCGGTGAATGAGTGTGTGCGGACGGCCGGTGGTCACATGACCACCAACAAAACTGGAAAAAGACCTCACGTCTGGGTCCTTATTTTAAAGAGGTTTTATCTGTTACTGGTGTGGATTTCTCAGCCGGACACACGCAGAGCTCCCGGGAGTTTTTCCTGAGCACTTTGTTTTAGCTCCACTCGGTTTATCCTGAGCACGTTTGAGTTTTTCTGGCCGGCCCCTAAATCCTCCATTTACACGGCAGCTATCTGCAGAAAAGGAAGAGGGACAAAGCTTTGAAATATTCACCTAAATGTCCACGCGGTGCTGAATTGTTTGTATTTATGTGGGAAAACCCGTCTGGGATCGGCGTTCCTGGGCAGATGGGAATCCTCCAAACTCCGGAGTCCTGCTTCCTGATTGGCCCTGACCCGGCATATTGAGCGCTTTTTAGAAGAGCCTCAAACGGTGCCTTAACTGCCTTATTTTATTTATTTTTTAAAGTCTTATGGACATGGACCCATGCTGCGTTGCCATGGTAACGTCGATGTCAGGTCTAAAGATGAGGGACTAGAGGTGAGAGGCCTCCAGATATTTATGATTATGTGTATTCTGACCAAAACTAAGCTCCAGCTTGTGCTGGTTTTGGACCGATGTGCCACTCCTTTTGTTTTGTTTTTAAATTTTTTGTTTTTGTTTTTGCCAAGTCCACTTTGTGCATTTTACAAAAGGCGGCGCCCTCATCTCAGAACGGGCCGAACGTGCTGGCTCCAAGGTTTATTTTTATCAGTGTACTGTTTTTATCTTTGTGCATATTTATCTAAATGTGTATTTTATGAAATATTAAAACTTTTTATACAGCTTTTCTGTGTGGGCGTGTGGCTTTTAC